TTATATATTATACATTATATAAATATATTATATATTTATATTTATTATACATTTATTTATATTATTTTGTACATATACAAAATAAAACCCGGAAACCATAAAATGTTTATTTACTTAAACTCCTAATTTAAAAAATTAAGTTCACTAGAAGTATTTATAATAGCAAGAAATATAGTTAAAAATACATTCTTCTATCTCAGTAGAATAACGCTCACATATATGTTTGTAACGTATTCCACCTCACATGGGCTTTCTCAGAGCATTTCAGGGCCATTCTGGGTGCACATTGTGCCAGGATACTTGGCAACTTTTTCATTAGTTTTGAGAACTACATGGCCCTGCTATGTACCCATTTCTGTAACTAAAGTATCACTTGACAAAATTATTTCATTTTCTCTGTCCACCTAGAGGAAAACTCTTTATTTCAGAATGTAAATACTGACCTTTACTTTTCAAAGGACAGCTGGGTTTTAAATTTTTATTTTTTTTAATTTTTTTTGGTACCAGGGATCAAACTCGGGACCTTGCACTTGCGCCACAGGTGCTGGAACCACTGAGCTAAATCCCCAGCTCTTGGTTTTAAATTTATAAAAAATTTTTGAATTTTTTATGTCTTTCTCAGTAATATAGCAGAAGTCACTTCTGGCCTCACTCTGCCTCCCAGATCCTTTCAAGTGTAAGGCAGAGGGCAGCAGGAGTCACAGGGTGTGAGACCAGGGAGGAGTCCTCTACAGCACGTTGGGAACATCTGTCAATGTTGTTTGTTTTGTCTTTTAAGAAAAATTTCCCTAGAGCTTTGAATTAACTTGTTGAATAGCAATAAATTGTGTTTGCTGACACATTTTAAATATTTTTGAACAGGTAAAAAACACATTTAATAAATATCCACTAAAGGGAGAACTTGTCAAGTCTCACATTATCAAGTTCAGGTATGTAGACCTAAAATGCTGATTTCTGTATTTAATTTAAAGCTTAGCTATTATCTTGGTCACAATAAAAATATTTTAACATATTAATAACATAATTATATTCAACAAGCATTTATTTTATACTTATCCTGTGTAAGTCACGGTTTACAATGTACCCTACTCATCCTTTAAATCTGATAGTGAGCATTTGCAAGGTGCTTTCAAGGGACAGTGTAATGGTGCCTATATGTTGAAATTGTTATGTGGTGATCTCACACACTTCCCTTGGTTTAGTTTGCACTACCCTACATAAAACAGTGTAGTGGAAAATTGTTTTTAGCTCTTGGTTCTCTTCTTTATCAATTTTGCTTACTTTCTTCTATTCTACCTCCTTATGCTCCAAATGAATACCAAATCTATTGATAAATAGACAAGTTTGGAATATAAAATTTTAAATAAAATGCCATATTCAGATATTAAATAATATATTGTCTTAAAGCAATTTTTTTAAAAAAATAAGAAAACTGTTTCAAGTATTATTCATTTTTATTACTTAAATTCTTTTATTGGTACATTTTAGGTATATAACACATTTACATTTCTCATTGGGAACTTGTGACTTTACATGATGCATCTTGGTTCTTATTTTTTCTCCATTCCTGGCCCTCCCTTCACCCCCTCTACCCTTCCCTGTTTACAAAGACTTTGTTTCCATTTTTTCCATTTCTCATCATTTTTCCTTT